CATCTACACATGTTATGATTTTTTTTTTGGAAGGGGGAGATGGGTGGTTCTTCCTCCTAGGCAACCAGCTTCTCCTTCACAAGTTCTGAGTCTGAAAACTGGAAAATGTATTGTGACTTTTTAATGAGGTAGATTTTCTGAGCCTCTTCATAATCCATCATTGATTATTATTGATTGAATAGATTTGGCAATACTCTTTTTGGCTGCCCATCTTTCTTTCTCTTAAGGATGCCATGTTCCATTGAGCACCTCCATAGCACTCCCTGACTACTACACCACACTTGCTGCCCATTGTGATAATGGCACTCACTTGGCATCAGACTGTTAAGTGTTGCCAGCTTGTCTCCTTAATTTTAAGTTTGAGTATTTGTTTTTATAGTAACGGACACATTTAAAAAAATTGATGTTGAATCATGGAGTAGAAAACTGTAAGAGGATTCTATGATAGGCAGTAACCCTGGAAAAAAAGTTAAAAAAAATAAATAAAATTCCAATTCAGAAAAGAGAGAGAAAAGAGATGAACTATTAAATATACATTTACACACACACACACACACACACACACACACACACATATGCATTGGAGATAATTTGAAAAGTAGGGAATTAAGAATGTAGAAGAAAAAAGGAAAATAGATGCTTTTATGGTTTTTACACTTATAACTTGGTTGAAAGTACTCATCTTTTCCTTGGGAAAATTAAAATCCTTGTTAAATCAAAAAATCATAGCAGAAACATATACAACTGTCAACCAAAGGCAAGTGAAGCAGGGCTCTGAATAAGAAGACAGCTTAGCCCCTTATGATTTTTTTTCCCATACAAAAATTTATACATATATTATTATGTGACTCTAATTGCTCTTCCCATACTGTGACAGCACACTTCTCCCTTGCACCCCTAATTCCCCATGTCCTTTCAACCAGTTCCTAACCCTGTCTGCCCTCCCATCTCACCTCTGGACAGAAGCTGCCGTTTAGTCTCTTCTATCTATTTGATTAGCTCCTTACTGAATAAATCACTTAGGATTTCTGCTGAAATTGAATGTGCTTTTTAAAGAAGCAGAGAGAAAAGAATGGGATGGCAAAGGTCATAATCTTTCATAAGGTGCGGTTTGAAATAGAGCAACTAACATGTAAAACTGCTTCACTGTAGAAAGGACTCTTCTTATCTATTATTAAATGAGACTTTTGTTAATCATTTGAAGTAGACAGAGGATCTGCCATTATTAGCCCCATTTTAAGACACTAGCTCAGAAGCATTAAATGACTTTCTGAAGATCGAATAATGTAAAGCATCTTTTGTGACCATTAAGCCATAAAAGTAGAAATCAGTAACAGAAAAAGCAAGGAAAAAAAAAAATCAAACACATGGAAACACAACACTTTGCTCAAAAACTACTGGCTTATGGAAGAAATTAAGGATGGAATAAAGAAATTCATAAAATCAAATGAGAATAAAAACACATCCTATCAGAACCTTAGAGACACAGCAGAAGCAGTGCTCAGAGGTCAGTTTATAGCAAAAAATGCACACATCCAAAAAAAGAAAGGGCCACAATCAAAACATTAACCCTACAACTGGAACAAGTAGAAAGAGAGCAGTGAAAGAAGCCCTCGGGTGCCAGAAGAAAGGAAATAATAAAAATTAGAGCAGAATTAAATGAACTAGAGAATAGAAAAACAACTGAAAGAGTTAACAAGACCAAAGCTGGTTCTTTGAAAAGATAAACAAATTGATAAACCATTGGCCAAACTGACAAAAGAAGAACAGGAGAGGAAGCAAATAACTCGTATAAGAAATGAGATGGGTGATATCACAACAGACCCAACTGAAATTAAAAGAATCATAACAGAATACCATGAAAAATTGTACAATAACAAATTTGAAAACCTAGAAGAAATGGACAAATTTCTAGAAACTCACTGCCTAGCTAAACTAACACAAACAGAGGTAGAACAACTAAATAAACCCATAACAAAAGAAGAGATTAAAAAGGTAATTAAAAAACTCCCAACAACGACAACAACAAAAAAGCCCTGGCCTGGATGGTTTCACTGGAGAATTCTACCAAACTTTCAGAGAAGAGTTAACACCGCTACTACTTAAGGCATTTCAGAGTATAGAAAAGGATGGAATACTCCCAAACTCATTCTATGAAGCCAGCATAACCCTGATACCAAAACCAGGTAAAGACACCACAAAAAAAGAAAA